AACACACCAAACAGACGGCTGAACCGAGAATATATGTTCAGCGCCTGCATGAGATGATGTAGAGCAGTGGTCCCCAACCTATTTATCACTGTGAACCAGTCAAAGCGTGACAATTTTACTGCGGCCCACACAGCAAATTCATTGGTGTTAAATTTCAAGTGTTGTGGTAATTCAGAGTAAAGTGTTAAAATTCTAGAGTTAGATAAAGGTAAAATAACCCTCTCGGCGTTAGAAGCTGATTTGCCTTGTCATACAGAGTAACATGTATCTACCTTTGTAGAAAACCCTTGTGTTTGAGAAACTAATCAGAGTGTCTGAAATCTCGCCACACCCTCATTCACCTGGCCCTTAAATTAGTCAATTAGTTTAGTCCACTAGACAGAGCGAATGACCACAAATAAGTGAATTCAGACACCTGCTGTTGAACACCTGCTATTAACAAGCACAATCACTGAAGGAATAAGAAATTGAAGGAAGAAATAAAACTACAGACACAGCCTCACACCAAACCAACTGAATTAAAACAGAGGATTAAACAACTCCATTCAATAATAGCATAAGCAGCTTCACTGAGTACAGTTTGACTTCATTTCTGTAAGAATATTTGACAATGAACAGAGGTTTATATTTTTTTATTAAAAATATTTCATTTGACCTCACCATCAGAGAGATCAGAGGTTGCTTATTTGAGCTCTTGAAGCTTTAATTTTGTATCCTAATGTTTCTCTGACTGTTATAGCTGTATTTCTAAAACTCATTAGCTATAGCAAGAAAGGTCTAGAGAAACTCTACTGTTTATGCTTAATTGTTATAGATTTAATTTCAGGTGTTTATTAAGTTGATTCATAAAACTATGCAAATAAAGTTGTATTAAAGCTGCATGGGACAATAATGCTGGCAGTCGGCTATTCTTCATAGAAACTTCAACAAACAATTAGGATGCAATTAATAATTAGAGTGTCATTCAATAAACATTCAAGCTCCAGCTTGCTCTTTATGATACACAGGCATCAAGAATCAGGACATGAACCTCAACCGTGGTTGCTAAAAAAAAAAAAAAAAGCTGCATAGTTCATGCCGTAATGCATGCTGGGTGCCAGCATAGTACAAAGCTCCCAGCATGCATTGCAGCATGAATAAATTATGCAGCTTTATGTTCTTACAACCTCTTTATTTTCCTGTATTTTGTGTTGTTTTTGGGAGGTGATATTTCAGTAGTGTTTTTTTTTACTTGATTTTTATTTTTTTGTTTGTCACCATCATTGAGATTCAAAGACTAATTATTGATGTCTGGGTGTTTTTGAGTTCTGCCATAGATCAAACATTCTCATTTTAAATGGTGGTTTAATTTTATTTTATTGGAGCTTCAGTGGTTTCATTTATGTATATTTTTTATTTCTCACACATAACTAATATGATACTGAATTAGAAAACAAGCAGAAAAGGAAGGCTATAATACCATTAATAATCTCTTCAGACTGAATCTTAAATTTTCTTTCAGCTTTCCATGCTATATGTTTAAATAGCGTAATTAACACTATCTATAGCAGCCAAAATTAAAGACATTTATAGTAAGAAGTTAAAGAGCCTGACTAAAGCAGACTCTGTCCTCCATCATGGTGACTTCAAATGAACAACAGAAATTTCATTAAGAGCTTTTGTTCACATGACAGAAATAAAGTCAAAGGTCAGTAATAGGTGAAGCTCCATGATAAGTTGTTTAATTTGATGAGTTTTTTTTAAAGATGTTGAAAAATAAAAATTTTTATTGTGTAATTTGTTTTATTTTTATTGATTATTATTTTATTTAGAGTTTTTTTTCTCAGTTGATTTCATCTTTGGTTTTGGCTTGTGTTTTTCTGTCCTTCAGTGATTCTGCTTGTTAACAGTTGTTCATCAATAATTCTCAATCCTCCTTTAATTAGACACATAATTGTCTCATTAACTTCATCACTGTCTGAGTGTTCAGCCCTCTGTAGTGAGGACACTAGTGAGGATTTTGCTCTGGAATTTAAGGCTTACGTGTGTTCGAATGAAAAATACAGACTGTGGGATTTGTTTTTAACAGAAATATTCTGGAAACTGAATTTATGAATGTAAAATGTTGAAAACAGCAGATTACTGGCAACCACTGCTGCCAGTATTTTGACATACATTTAACAGATATTTTACACAATAAGAGTTTGCTAATTAACACTCTGGGTGTTAAAAATTTTAACACTTTCAAAAATGTTATTTTAACACTTATAGTGGTTCCCATATAAACACTGAGGGAGTGTTAATTTTAACTCTAAGGTAGTTAAATCTACCAAATCTAAAATTTGCAGTGTGAGATCGATAAAAAATACAGACTGTTGAATGAACTTTTAACAGAAATATTCTGTAAACTGAATTTATGAATGTGAAAAACAGCAGATTACTGGCAACCACAGCTGCTGGTATTTTTACGTAAAATCTAAAAATGAAAAAAAAAAAGAAAAACAGCAAAACGGTTTTTGTGTCACCATTGTGGAGGATAATATGTCTCTGTTCAAGTCCAAGATGAACTGAGAGTATTTGATGTTATGCTGCATCTTCTTTTGTTTAAAGGTAACTGTGTAGTTACTAATGCTGTCAAAATCTGTTTGCTAACTAGCAATCACACATGAAAACATTATTGCATCTAAAGACTTTACATTTTTGTGCACTAAGCTATAATTTTGTAAACTGAACATTGTGTTAGTTCATGAAATATGGTTATTTTTTGTAAATTTATACAGTTATATAAAACTTCCATGTTTTTCACAGAAAGATTCTGGCAACCACAGCTGCTGGTATTTTTTCGGAAATTTAACAGATATTTTACACAATAAGAGTTTGCTAATTAACACTCTCTTGGTGTTGACAATGTTAACACTTTCAAAAGTGTTATTTTTAACACTTATAGTGGTTCCCATATAAACTCTGAGGGAGTGTTAATTTTAACTCTAAGGTAGTTAAATCTACTATCTAAAATTTGCTGTGCAGGTGGTGGGTGTACATAGACTGCTAGTTGATTATAAAGCATTTTCACAGAGAATGATAAGCTGACAAAAAAATTGCTGCAACTCTGATACAAGCTTTAGTAGAAAATTAAAAACCACTGCAATGTTTGCCTGAGATAATGAGTCTACCGAAATGTGTATAGTCCATACGAAATATAAAGCTGATCAGTCAGTTCTTGTCAAGTGACTTGCCGTGTGCTTGTGGTATTCTAAAGATGTTTTTAACTGGGTGGTGCACCTTGAATGCACGAGCGAGTGCACCATTAAAATAAACAAACTTGCGCACAGAAAAAAACAGAATATGTGAATAGCCGACATCATTTGCGATCTCCAGCTGTTGATCGTCTTGCACAGACAAGCTGGATTCACCTGATTTGGTGACAAATGGGTTGCGGATCCATTTCTTGACAGTTTGTGGGTCCTTCACTAGGGCTTTTCCTCTTTGCAAAGAAACTTTTCCAAAGACGTCTGTTTCTTGCTCATTTTGCTAGCTTGTGGATTAAATTTTGGCGCTCACGTGACTGAGATGTAGCCACAAGAATACGGTCATTTTTCGAAATAAAAGATTTAGACTCAGATAATATAAAATTGAAAAAATTAATGATTTCCTCCCCAGTACCAGTTGATTGGGGTTAGGCACCACTGATGTACAATATCTTTCTATTCCTGCAGGTGGTACTAATCTGTATTGTCAGAGCTTTTGCTGCACATATACATTTAAGCAGCATTTTCACAGAACTTCTCACTCACCACAAAGGGATTCACTTGTGGAAATATGTCTGATAATCTGATCATCTATATCATTTGCAAATATGTAACATATGCAAAGAAATTCCCTCTTGACCTATGTTGTTCACCTAGTTTTGTCACTTTAGTTGTTGATCTGGGGGCAGCATGGTGGCACAGTGGGTAGCACTGTTGCCTCACAGCAAGAAGGTTGCTTGTTCGAGCCCCGGCTGGGTTAGTTGGCATTTCTGTGTGGAGTTTGCATGTTCTCTCTGTGTTTGCGACCTACCTCATAAAATTTGATGTTACGAAACACAAACATGGTGCGGCTAAATATCAACTTCAATATAAACAGCCCTAAGAGTAAGTAAATAAATTGTTGTACTTGTGCATTAATTCATAGCAGAACAGCCAATGAGATTGCCCTCCCATACCAGAGTCAACTGTTTTAATCCTGCATGGATTGTGCAAATATAGTCAATATAGTTGGACTGATAAAAATGTATACCTCTTACATGGTGTACATTTCTTTGGATGAAATGGTCTGCCAAATGCATAAATGTAAATCTGAAACTTTCCTCAGAGTGTATTTGAAGTATTTGTGATGCAGATAACTTCTTTCTATCTTGTCTTAGGTCTCCAGAATGCTATGTGGCTGCTAAAGTGTTCCAATTCTGAGCCTTAGCCGGAAAAAAAAAAAAGAAAAAAACCTAAGCATTCTCTTTCAAGAATCTTGGAAATCTAGTCTCTCTTGCGTTTCTGCTCTGAGGATATTGGCCACATTCACTTTTTCAGCTCTCGTGGGAAAGTTGTGGGAGTTTCTAAAAAGACTGAAGGGGAAAGTCGGTAAGAAACGTGGAATGAAAATAAATGAAGAAGGCACCGATGTGTGCCCTAGAAACACGATCTCATTTGACTAGAGCCCAAGGTCCTGCTGTAACACATCTGGGATTTGATGCGCTACTCTAAATGACAGTCAATGTGTGCTGTTAATGCTCATGTCTGTATTTTAGAAGAGAGCTTATGTTTTATGGATTTATGCAAACTGAACATGACTGTAGCCATACAGGAGAAGCTGTTTTTTCTTTTTTTGATTCTTTCAGCACATTATGTCTCCCCACGCAAAGCACAATGCCTGGCAGTTATTCCAAAAGAATAATGATGAACAAAATGAACTGTTTGTAATCAAATGTTAACAATGTGCCAACCAAAGAGGTAATATGAGTTAAAATTTGTCTTTCTTTTCCTCAGAGCTGGATATTTGCCCCAAAACGTCCCCCTGCAGATGATCTCCTATTTGTCTCAGGAGACCGAGTTTCTGCCCTGGCACGCTGCTAGTCGAGCGCTTTACCAGTTGGACAAACTCCTGGACCGCACTTTAGACCACAGCCTGTTCAGCGTGAGTCTGAACTTACATCAGTTTAATGAATGTTGTGTTTTAGCCTTGTCTAGTCTGATAAGAGATACAGCTGATATCAAGCAGCATGACTTAAATGACTGCCACAAGACAGACAAAACAAACTTCCTCTGATCATCATCCAAAACCAAGGAAATCAAAAAACTGAAAACTGTCAATCAAAACTGATCATCATCCAGTCCACAAAGTTTCTAAACAAAATGGCAATTTCGCACCCCAAAACATAACCACTAGCTGTGTTTTAAGGTGTATTCACACTAGGCAAGGTTGCTTTAAATCGAGCCAGGAATCAATTGCCCACCCTGCCCAACCATACTGCACTCACGCTGTACTTTGCTTTCCAAGTATGAAGACTTATGCATCATTATGATACAATTCCTATGGGAAAGCATATAGAGAAGGGCTCTCGTTTATTGCTATAGAGTACATTGCTGTAAATAAATTGTGGTGTTTTATTTTAAATCATTTGGGATGCAGTGAGACGCAACCAAATAGATTGCTGAACAGATCCACCACTCCTGTAACTTATACATTTTCAACACATCATGCTGCACATATTAACATAGTTGAGATGTTGACGCTGAAGTGCAGTGAAGTGCAGTTCATTTACTTGGTAAGAATGAGTTATAAATCCATATTGAATGATTCGAAAAAGTGATTTCGAATCTAAGACTTCATGTTCACTCCAATCAAACCAGAGTGCTCACACTTGTCAAACAAACTGGCATTTGGGGGTCAAACACCCTTACACATAGTTCAGGGAATACACTCTATCTGTCAGGATATTGTACTATCATACTACTCAAACTATTTCTGCTGTTATGCCAATATTTTTGCAAATTCGATCATCCATAGTTGTAGGATGTGTCCAGCATTCTCCAAGACTTAAACAGCATACCACATTTAAGTTTTAGATATATAATGTCCAATATCACTATAAAAAGAATACTAAATATAACCAAAAACTAATATTGACTTTTAAATATCCATTAATCAAACTGTCATGTTCTAGCTAATAGGAAAAATAGCCACATTGTGTTCAGAGAAAGTTTGTTTCTTGATCAAAGCTTACAGTTTTACTTTTCAAAGTACATTTTTATCACTCTTAAAATCTTTTGACTAATAATTTTTTCTCTAGTATTTGACATGTCCTGACTACTTTTGTTATGTTATTGGCTACGTTTGCCCCACTGACTTTTATTATAACATTATTTTTTATTTCAATGCCATGACAACATTTTTAATTGTTTGTGTTTTTTTTTTTCCCTATTAGGAATAGGTAAAATAAGTCATTTGTATTGTTGATCACTAGTTGGCACCATTAACTCTTCAGATACACCTGTGCCAAAACAGGTTTTTTGGTTTTTAAATGAAGTTCTGTGAAGTAAAACAACAAATGTGCATGCATAAATATAGTTAAAATTGTATGTCAATGGAGCAAAAACAGTCACTAACATAATGAAAGGGAAGTAAAGTTGCCCAGAGTGAAGAGTTTTTGATAACTCCAAAGCATTTTTTCAAAATATGTGTCAAAATAAGATTTGTCACCAAAAATCATTCCATTTTTTTATGAATTAGAGAACATTGTTGCCAAATTAAAACCTAAAATCGCCCCAGGGTGGATAAAAACATCCCCAACAGCAGGCAAATGTTAACCACTCTCCCTGGCAAAGCTGTGATAAAAACAAAATGCTATTGACAGTTTTTTAAAAAAGGGGAAGAAGCTACAAAACATCCCATTGAAATATGTATTGTGTATAAACAATGACTTATCTACGACAAGCCCCAAAAAGGCAAAACACAATGTATTCAACAAGGAGATTCACCGTTTATTATAGGGGGGAAAGCAATTTGGACAGTGTAAATATGGTTCCATGAGGTAAATGACGTCTTGTTTCATGTTTCAATATCTTATGAACCACTGCAGCACATAGTTACATGATCTGCTTGATCGGCATGATCGGCACCACAGACCTATGCCACATGTGCAAATCAGCCAGGACCACAAAACATTTTGGATCCATTTGAGTAAAACATAATGTCACATTTTAAAGAAGAGAAAGGATCAGATAGTCTCAGCATGACTATTATAAATTGTGGCTGTCATGAGTCAGATATGCATTAATTTAATTATTCTGACTGGCAGAGCTGTGACATAAATGAAACACTGCTGGATTGTTAAAAAGGGGTGGAGCTACTCTATTTGCCACCCTGTTTTCATGTTTCTGTTGAAATTTTGCTAAACATCAAACAAAACATTGATTTTTAGAGGACCAAAAATGTATACTGTGCAGTATGTACACTGCCTGACAAAAGTCTTGTTGTTGATCCCAGTTGTCAGAGCAACAAATAATAATTTGACTTTTAGTTGATCATTTGTAAAAGTGGCAGATTTTTTCTGATGAATCATCTGTTAAACTGCAGAAGACCTATTGGAACCCGCATGGACCCAAGATTCTCACAAAAATCAGTCAAGTTTGGTGAAGGAAAAATCATGGTTTGGGGTTACATTCGGTATGGGGGCATGCGAAAGATCAGCAGAGAAGATGGCAATATCAACATGCCTGAGGAGTCGAGATATATGTGCTGCCCATTACATTACAAACTGAAAATTCTTCAGCAAGATAGCGCTACTTCTTATACTTCAGCTTCTACATCAAAGTTCCTGAGAGAAAAGAAGATCAAGGTGCTCCTGAATTGGCCAGCCAAGTCACCAGACATGAACATTATTAAGCTTTTGTGGGGTAAAATAAAAAGGAGGAGGCATTGAAGATGAATCCAAAGAATCCTGATGAACTCTGCAAGAAAGCTTTCTTTACCATTCCAAATGACTTTATTAATATGTTATTTGAGTCATTGCAGAGATGTATGGATGCATTCCTCCAAGCTCTAGGGATTCATACACAATAGTTATTCTTTTTCCACTGCACCATGACTTTATATTCTATAGTGTACAATATTTCTGTTAATTGACAAGACTTTTGTTTAAGCAAAGTCAGACCTTACTGTCCTAATTAAATAATTAAAAATCAAGGCATGTACATATATAATTTTGGTCAAATAAGCGTAATCTAGAGGCCATTGCCTTTCATATAAGCCACTTCTGATAGCAAATGATCAACTAGAAGACAACTTATTATTTGTTGTTCCTAAAACAGGTAGTGTAGTTTGATATGATTTCAGAGTCTTTCTGTGTTTTTGTGGCTTCTATCTTACCTGTCCGCTTGCTTTCAAACTCCACTTTTTTTATTCAGAACCTCAATCGCACACCTACCCCCAATCTTTTGGTGTGCATGAGTCATTTCTTTCCCTATTCTGCAATGGATGAGCCTTTAGTGTCCACAGTGAGTGTGTGATGAATTTAAACGTGTCTCTGTGGCTCTCCTTACCCCGTTGACTGTGATATACAGCAGATGTTTTGGATGTAATTCAAGACAGGAAACAGCTGGAGCAGTTTAGTCAGGTGTCATCTAATCATGTGACTAGGTGTCAATCTGAGCCTGTATGTTGGCCAGTGTATTTTAGTCTTTTTACACACAAACAGTGTCATCATTCATCAAATCTGAGACAAAACAATGACACATTACTCAATTGCTGCAGTAACAGCTTGACAAACACTCATAATCAGCTCTACCGTCACCACAATATTAAAAAACAATGTCCTTTGCCTGCTTTTGTAAGAATGTGTTAAGAATTGAATTGCTGCATAGCAGGCTCTAATTGTGATCATTCACTGGTCTCAGTAAGAGGGCATGAAGGAGAGCAGTCATGCTAAATTAGCCATGACATTACCTGCTGCGACATTTCCCTTCACCATATGGAGAGTCAAACAGAGACACAAGCACACACTTGTTTTACTATAACAGACATTTCATTGATTTCATTGATTGTTCTATCAGGTTAGTAAATCAGTACCTACTCCTACGTTCCCTTATAGAAATATGGGGTGGCAAGACAACAAATCTGCAAAAAATGTAGTGTCTTTTTGTACCTCCATCAGCAAAACATATATCAATTAGAAAATATAAATAAGTATTAAAACAACATCCTACCTTAAATCCCACTACAGGATTTAAACTTGATTAGCAAGTTAACAAACTCGTGCCTAGCAATCTTTATGTGTAAACTACTCAACAACACATTAAAGAGCCTCACTGACATGAATACTAATATCTTGTACTGATGCAATGGTACAGATTGCTCATGGATCGGCTGGTATCATTCTTTTAGGGTCACAGTTTCGACGGTTTTGTATATGATACAATATGTTCAGTAAACAAAATTGGACAATGTCAAATATAGGTAAAGAAAAAATATATCTACAAGCAAAAGCACAGATGAACACAATATGGCAAACATACTAATAACCTGATTTGCTTTCCGGTTTTTCAGGTATTTAAAATATATTTTTAAGACAATCTACAAATCAAGCAAACTTTCTCTTTCCGACAACACAAAAAAACAATAGTCAGGTACTGGTAGGTGCATGTATGTGCGTGTGTGTGTGTGTGCATGTAAATCTAACTGGGACAGGTTAGAGTACATACATAAGGGACAATAACAGTCAATAAATAAAGCAAGTATCACAGATTTTAATAAAACAGATAGAAAGAAACCAGTCAGTGGTAAGAAGTAACAATGATAAAAGTAATGTATTATAGTAATAATGACAGTAAAAAGAAAGAAAGGACAATAGTAATAATAACTGACAACAACAATACTAGTAAGTTATTAGTGCTCCACCAACTACTACTTCAGAAAGTTACTAATATTACAACTGCTGCTACTACAGCTACAACCATGACTACTACTACTACAATGTCTATTAATACTGATACTACTACAACAACTACTATTACTGATACTACTACAGCGTCTGCTACAACTAATACTACTACAACAACATTTACTACTGCTGATATTACTACAGCAATCACTGCTACTACAAGATCTACATCGACAACATCTACTATTGATACTACTACACCAACAACGACTACTACTACTACTACTACTAGTAGTAGTAAAGTTAAAATGGCATGAATGACTAAACACGACACACTGACTGAACATTGTTTACAAATGGTGACTCACGGTGTGTTTGTGTTGAGTTCTCATTGTTGTGTTTGTGCAGTTGGTTGGGTATACAGAGTACAGATTTTTGGTTGCAGATTAGATGTGTTGTCATTCTTTATAAAATGTATGACAAGAATGTGACAACATGTGGGCGAAGAATGATACAGTTCAATTATTATGCTTATTTTATTATTTTATCTTGAACTGTTGCACTTCTAATCAAAATCACTAAGCTTTCAAACTTTAGCCCTCTCTGATTCAAAATTTTCTTGCAGAGAGCCGTGTTTTCTTCATTGTCCCGCGACCCCTCGAGGAGTCCCGACTCCCACTTTGAGAACCACTGCCATAGGCAACTAAATCAGAAGTTCTAAAACAATCTCAAAAACAGGTGCACTTTCGCATTTTAGAATAAGGTCAATAAGCGGACGTCATGATTTTGCCAATGTGATCCTAAATTAACATCTATGTTGATCCTGGAACATAGTTTTTGTTAGAAAATGTAATCCATAGTTATTCCATACCCCTAAACCCAATCATAACTGTAAACTTTTCCCAAAACCAAATCCATTAGTTGGATAACAATCATGTAGTATAAAAAACCTAACCGTAAGCCTAAACTTAACATAAACAGAAAACATATGCCTTAATTCTGATTGGCTGATTGGAATGTTGTTTCAGGATAAACATAGATGTTGATGTAGGAACATGTCCTACTTGGTGAAATCACTTTGGCAGTCTATATGCTGAACTATGCACATATATGAGTGATCTGCTGATGGACCAGCTGATTGGCACGGATTTCATATGCTCTAGGGAACGCTTTCAAATCTACAACCAACAACTGCTGAGCAATGATTGGCTGCCTTTCTGATGACTGGTATTCCATGATGGCGCCCCTAATGTCGCTCATGACTATAAACATATTACGCTGATATATATGCTTCATTAACTAGTGAGGTCTGGCTAACTAGTCTGTTTTCAACAATTTCACTACATTAGTGAATGAAGAGATCTCTGAATAATGAGGATTTTTGCACACATATATTATAGAAGAAAAAAAAAACAATAGGACATACAACTTATCTCCATTTTAAGTCTGCAAATTCTGTTAGTCAAATCTTGTTTAAGTATTTGTCCGGACATACTGATTTGCTTTGATTTGTATCATGGTTTAATGATTTGCTTTGCTTTGCATTTTGTTTAATTTCTCAGGATTATGTACTAAGACAGGTGGAACCAAAGTATCACAAGCTTGGCTGGCCAGCCACTTCCCCTGACGGCTCCTTGATGCATTCAGCTTATCAGACAGAGTAAGTCTTGCATTTCATCTTTCCTGAATTATATATTGCCGTTTTAAACGTATATGTAGTTGAAGTAAGGGCACTGCAAAATGTAAGCCACACATTTTCCTCCTCAAAGAAAGGGAATGACCTCAGCAGATGTGTATTTAATTTTTAATTTTCCCCTTCCTTCTCCTGTACTTTCCTGCTGGTTTCCGGCCCTCTTTCCTCCTTAGAGAGCTACAGAGAGAGGTGATCATGCTGGCCTGCAGTTTTGGAAACAAACACTGTCACCGCCAGGCTGTTTCTCTCATTTCTGACTGGATTTCCAGCAACAAGAACAGGTGAGCAAATTTACAGCATAGCTTATATTCAAGCTCAGTGATTCTGCTCACTGTCCTTAAATATTACCTAATTCATTTAGCAAGCAAATTTGTTTCAAACTTAAAAGTTACTGTATTAGACCGATTCCTGCTTGGTCTAATCACACACACACAAAAAAAAAAATGATTGGTTACTGTTTAATATGTTCAACCCTCAAAATTCATACAGTATGATTTCTGTGCCAGGTGTCCATGGCAACACGCATTTGTTCATCTAATTTGTTTTCCCTGCTGCCCACAGCAATGTTCACATGCATGTACTGCATGCAATATCACACTGGCAAAAACCCCAGGCCACCGGCAGGGACTAATGACCATATTGAAAAATAAACACAATTGTGGGTGTATGTTTGTGTATCTGAAGAACTCATGTTAGCCTGAACAAGATATTGTGTTTGCTCAGTTTTTAGGAATATTTTTTGTCCCTCAGCCAAACTATTGGCCGCATGCCTATAAATACATGAAAGGCCACACACACAGTTCATATTATTCACATTGGCAACCTCAAGCGCATTTGAAATGTGCTTGCTAGCTTCAAAACCGTGACCTAAAATTGACAGCTAGACCTTAAATCTAGACACAGATGCTGTTATTCTCATAATATGCATCACATGTTGACCTTAGCTACATATAATGAGTATTTAACAATTTATTGAGGTTGCATATGTGACTTGAGTCTCTGTGATAGCAATGAAATGCTCCATTAACAAATTATTACTTATATTTTTGCTTTTAACATGTGAAATACACCCTCAGGTGAAATAAACCAATGCTTGACCTGCTAAGTCAAAGATGTTACACTCTTTTGCCCTGAAACTGCTCAATTGCTCTAGCAGTGGCTCTAATTATTACCCTGTGGAGTAGTCTCTGTACTAAACAACTGTCTTCCTACTGGACGGTCATCAAGTGAGTTTAGTTTAATCCACTGGCAGACATTTAGAAAGATGAAAGTTGAGATATTTTCATTTTTGAGGCAATTAGGGGATACTTTTTTCCAGAACGACTATTAAAAATGCTTTAGTTGCATGTGTACAAATGTCAAACTCAACAGATGGTAAGATATTACTTTACGCATGCACCTGCTAGAAAAATGGTGATGTCTTTCTTCTGCAGTAATTTTGTGTTATTAGTTACATCTTCCTTTTGATACTTGTGGACTGTATTGTTTACACTGTGTGGTTTGCCTCTGACCTGCCAGCTGAAGTTTTGGTCTGCCAGATGTGTCCTTTAGTGTCCTTTCTTCACCAATGACCTCTAGTCCTGCTGGGATAATAAAAAGATGATGTTCAGCTTGATATTCAGGAATGAGCACATCATAAAAGAGCAATGTGTTTGACCTTTATGTCTTTTTATGGTTAAGGTGATGATAATGTCACAGGAATGACCTAGCAGAGTTTATGAGCTGCAAAGAGAGGCTTCAGTTCACTGTACAGCAAAAGTCAAATGCTGAGAAAACATCCTCATGTGTTTTATTGATTCAAAACAAGACAATAGATCTGAATATTAAGACGACAGAAACTGCTCAAGCTAAATAACACAATTTTAGCCTTGTTTGAAGCAATAAAGGCTCAGATACTAGTAAAATACTAGATACGAGACTATGACTTATGACTCAAGCTGTCTCCTATTCTCATTCAACATATTATAATTCTGAATTTTCCAGATATAATGGCAGCTAACGGGAGGTCACAAATATTATTCTCTAACTATGTTTTGAAAATCAGTAAAACATCCTGCCATTGGCAGTCATAAACAAGACATCACCTTCTCAGGTGTGAACATTTCAGTCTATACACTCCAATTGGATGTGACAAGATTTCATATCTAACTGAAGGTGTCGTTCTTGGTTTCGCTACATTCAAAACTCCCAGAGGCTCAGACGGCTCATCCAGAATCAGCAGGTCTTTATTGCGCTTTGTTTGAGCAAATCAAAAGTTCAGTCACTGTATCGGCGCAGCTCCTCCTGAGGTTTAATGTTATTTCTTTCTGTACGAATATTACATGCATCGCCTCACAGCCTGAGATGCTTTTCTCTCCGTGTAGCTCCACTAAACTCTGCTATTCTTTTCTCAGATTTATAACCAGATCATTATATGGGTCCACAGAGAGCTCTTTCTTATGACCGATATATCGCCAGAATATATATATTGCACTATGAGTTACTTTTGAAGGTCTGGAGTGAGAATTCGGGGCAAATTTTCACCACTCAATTTATAACCGCATAAAAGATCATCAAATTAGATCTGCTTGTGTTGTTATGGACATTTATCATTCTGACAGAATTCAAGGGATTAAAAGTGAATGCAGACAGCCTAAATGTCTATGTATTTTTAAAAGAATATTTTTTTTTTTCTTTTTTGTCCCAACTTGTCTATTTTGAATGTACAGTAAATGTGCCTTAATTCAACATCAATTAACAGCAAAAACACTTTTAAAAAGAAACTGCAAATAAAAGTACAACTAATAAAAACTTGCAGACATACACTCACGCTGTTTTTCACTGATTCTTCTGGAGGTGAAAGATTGGCTTGTGATTTGCTATCTTTGAACAATCCCAAGGAACTTCACTGACTCCTGTGAAAAAAACATATCTTCAGAAAACACTAATTCCAAGGAATTTAAATAAGAATTAGCCGTGAACACAATGTAATCTAAAACTTGTGAATCTACAGTAACTCTCAGTAAGTATTTAATAAAAAGACGTTGAGGAATGCTCATTACCTAAAGAATGCAATGTCAAGTGCTAGAATTCTTCACATTTTTTTCCCTTCTACTCTAAAAATTAATCTACATATTTGTGTGAAAGAAATTCAGTACAGTTGGCTCTACTTTGGTATTTACCTCTAGATGTGTCCAACTATAAATGTGTTTTCAGCTCTTGTCTTCACTCAGTTATTCAATCTTCTGTCTCGCAGGATTCCACCCAACGTCCGGGACATTGTGTACTGCACAGGTGTTTCTCTGATGGATGAGGATGTGTGGGAATTTATCTGGATGAAGTTTCACTCGTCTACAGCCGTCTCTGAGAAGAAGGTTCTTTTGGAGGCCTTGACCTGCAGTGACAACATCTTCCTGCTTAACAGGTCAACCAACACTGCAACACTGTAAAATAACAATAATAACAATAACAATAACAATAATAATAATAATAATAATAAAATTTCTAATAAGATTATGTAGCATGATGCATTTATTAGCAAATTTAAACTTAGTTTTAAATAAATTAAAATTTTGCAAAATCTTTGACATCTCTGTACCATGCATTGGTGGAAATCCCAAGGACGGTGGGGACAGGCCCCCCAGCCCAATACCCCAATCCTACCCCCACTTAAAGGTTGTCAAACTTGCCCCCCCCCCAAAACTATTATTAAAAATGATAAATAACAATGTGTTATACTTTCAATAATGTGTCAATTTTATACCTTTAGAAATGTGTAAATCAACACAAACGCAAACAGGTTTAGAAATTGTTGAGTCTCCCTCTCCTTTCCCCTGCATTGCTTTGGTACATATGCCTGCTTTCCACTTTTTCACATACTTGGAACAGTATTGTAGCTATTGAATTGGAGAGGTTAAACTTTAATGTGTAATTTCAGTCTTCTTATTTCTGTCCCCCTTAAGACACTCTTACAATGTTTTATGTTTTCCGTCCCCCTGCTGTTAGAAGAAACTTCCACCCCTGGATGCACCAACCATTTTATTCACTTCTGCATAAAGTTTTTGTCATTTAAGTGAATGCAAGGAGTATCTGGAGGTGTCTGGAGCATGTACAGCTCCACTTTGACTATAACCAACTTGTTAGTTTGCAGTCTACTGTACCTCATGAAGTAATCCTTTTCAGTCCTCCACATCCTGCCACTCACAGCAACAGAGTGACTCTCACTCCTCTGATGGGGCAGTAAAGACAATGGCTGCTGTAGGAGCTTTCTCCACAAATCTCCATGGTGTCTTAAATCCTGCCGACTCAATAGCAGGATGAGGACGGTGACGGATTACACCCTGTCCAGACCAGACGAGGATCTCACAGCCCACACAAATTCTGAAGCAGTTCTCTGAGGATTCACTGCTGGTGTGACATCTCCATTTATTCAGTTGCAGTTTGTTGTTTTATAGATGCACAGAGAGAAAGAAACTTGGCCATATAAAGAGACCCTCTCTGACCCTTCTCTGCAGTGAGTGTTCAGCACTCAACAGGCGGATTCCTGTGGGAATCTTCAGCATGAGATTGTGGAGAGGGATCTTGCCTTGCTAGAAGGGGAAGACAAATAGAGCCACATTTAGCAAGTACACATTTCAGTGCTCTACATTTAGATTTCATTTTGTTCATGTTTAGATACTATTCATCATATTACAGTCAGTGAGGATACTTTTCATTTTTTTGGATGCTGGTAATTGCCTTCCTTGAAGGTAAAATCAATGAGGCTTACACGCTCTCTGTAAACCAAACCAAAATACAGCACATTAAAGTGAAGCAGCTGAATCCTACATTTAACAGATACTTTGGAGCCCCCATTCTGCTATAAAATGATGGGTTTTAAATAAGATGGGTGTAAAAATGGGTGAGAAATACGAGAGACTTCAAAGAAAAAATTGCAGTGTTGGCAGGTATGGGTTTGAGACCAAAAGAGGATCAAGTCCAATCTGACTCATATCTGAGTCAACGTTCAAGACCAGAAATTTATTAAGTTTACATAAAGGAATTGAGTCAGGATCAAAACCAGAAGAAAGTAAAGTCCGAATGAAGATCTTGGTCAAAAGAGTGTTGGGTTTGTGTTAGGATTCAAGTCTGAGAACCATCCACTTTGAATGTTAGCACTCGATTGAATCGGCTTTATCAGTGGTTTTCAGCTAATAGATATGGGCCAGTAGGGGCCTTCTGTGCCTACTGGTAGACTCAGAAGGCTGTTATCATCCTACCACAAGGTTAATCAGCTGTACTAATATAAAAGGTGAAGGGAGCACAGCCCTCAAGGCCCCTATGTCCAACCTTACGATGTTCTCCCCAATGGTAATTTTCTTACTTAATGGACAGTGACAAGCAGAGTTAACAGATTAAAAATGTTTAATTTTATTTCTTACATTTACTATTTAAAACCTTGGGCTCAACATCACAATAACATATTCCCCTAATTGAAAAAAAATCCTTTAGTGGCAAAAACACCAGTTAAGGATAGTTTACCAATTATGTACCCTTTAGGGCTTACTCTTCAAACACTATACCCACAAGTTAATAATAGACCAATGTATGGCTGTTATTAATCTAGAACAAAATACATCAATAAAAAAAGAAAATACAAACACAGGCAAATAATAATAAAGACAAGATCAATATGATATCCAAAAAGTCCATACAAAATATAAATCCCATACACAAACAGCAGAAACCAAATTATTAAAACTAGATATCTGTATTTATTCTAGAACAATACAACAGAAAGAAAAATACAAGAAAAAAAATCAAAGACAATATCAATACAATAACAAAAAAGTCTATACCAATATAAATCCCGCACACAACCAGACAGAAATGAGATTAGTTATCAGTTGTTATTATTTGTTGTTATTCAATGTGTTTCACTCTAGCATATAATAATACACAAATGGGAACAACTACATATATTTCATAATCATTGAGAACAAAATCACAAACCCAAGGAAAGTAAATATAATAAATTGTAAACACCACCAACCACAAAATTCAAATTATAAAATGCACACAAAAGCCTTGGTTCCGATTTGGCAATAATGACACCAACAATAACAATGACACCCACTTCTCAAAAAAAATAACGAAAAATAAAAAAAAATTAACAATATTAACAGCACATGCAGAAGGAAAGAATACAAAACTAAATAATAACAACAATCCATACAAAAATCACCCAATTAGAGAAAGTCACAAACACACGTTTGTTTCCGACAGCAACGCACACAGGTGGTTTAAAGACTTGTGTAAATCATACAAAGCCAGCGCACATGAATTGGCCACCATTGATGTGGAATTCGAGGTGCTTACGTTCGAATTACAAAACACGCACAGATGGAAATAACGCTTCCGAATAAGACCAAATGCCACTTAAGAAACAGCAAAGCAGCAGCTAGCAGACTCTGCAAAACAACAAATCCTTACAACTCTTTTCTCTTACATATACCCTAACACAGAAGACAAACCTTTGGAATTAGCTATACATGTACACCATGAACCAGCCAAGTTAATCAAGTTAATTTCCGACAGATAATTTTCCGATTGATAATCCATTTCATTTTACTCACGGTTTCCAACATGCTTTACTCACTGGAAGGCTAGTGGAGAGAGTCCTATCAACAGGTCAAAACACCAAAATGCCAACCAGAGATGGAAATCTCACCTGCTCCTATAGGGCCATGACGTGATTAGCACCCAACGCAGGCATTTAAAGAGTCAACCAACTACACTAATAGAGAAGACTCCAGATCCAGATTTACATTACTGTGACAATTGGGTTTAGGGTTGGGGTAGGGGTAGATGTTAATGAAATATAATTAATGGGAAATTGAATAAATAATTAAAATAATTCTCGTTAACTTCCGGTCACAGTTGTATGTGATCTATAGATGATTAACCATGTGGATGGATGATAACAGCTTTCTGAGCTTACCAGTAGGCGTAGAAGGCCCCAACTGGGCCATATCCATCAGCTGATAACCACCAATTTGATAACGCCAATTTAATAGAGTGATAACATTTGAATCGGCTGTTAGAACAGGGTTAAGGCAGCTAGCACTTTGCAGCTTTCACATGATTGCCCACTGAAGCTAGGCAGGGTTGTGCCTGGTTAGTACCCGGATGAAAGGCTACATGGGAAAATTAGGTTGCTGCTGAAAGAGGTGCTAGTGAGGCCAGCTGGTAGTGCTCACCCTGTGGTCCTTGTGCCCTAGTATAGTGAGAAGGACAAACTGTATAGTATAATATTATAGTCAAAACCAAAATAATCTTGGGTCTGAATTAAGATTTTGATCAAAAAGTTTTAAGTTTGAGTTAAGGTTCAGGTAAGGTTGGTTTTTTGAGGTAATAAAAATGTCAGGATTTCTTTAGAAAATTCTTCGTATCCTGGTCAAATTTGCCCACTGGCCTCTGTCCATCGTGTTTTCCTAACCATCCCAGTATCTACTAACTGGCTTCGTCACTCTTTCTAAAGCTGATCTAAAGCTGAATGACAGCCGTTGCATCACCTAGGTTGATGCAGCACCTGGTTTGTAGGCCTAGATTCCAAAATTCTTGGCCTTGATCCTTAATAAGAGAATGTGACAATGATACTGACTCCTTTTTTTGGTCACAGTCTTGACCTTGACTCAAATGGTCCCGACTACAACACTGGTTACTGATTAGGACTATGCTTTTTAACATACTGTAAATCTTGATCCAGGAACACACTGCATTTGGCAGATCATTTTTGCTGGTACAGTAGTTTGAATCTGGTTGCTAACTTGAAATTTTTTCTTCCACATCACAAAATATCTGAATATTAGCAAATGATGTGGCGCTACAGCAGCAGAAGTGATGTGCTGGTGTTGAAGTGTCAGACATCA